GCCTTCCTCCCTCCCCGGCCTTCCTCCCTCCCCTCCTTTACCCCTCTCCTCCTTACTCGAAAGAGGAGGCGAAGTACTTCTGGACGCTGTCATCCTTGGGGAATTCCACCCCGCTGTCTCCGGGCATCTCCTCCACCCTCCAGCCATCCCCACCATGCTCCACGTCACACCAGCCCTCCAAGTCCTCTGTAGGGACAGGGACGGCCCCACTCTGGTCACCCAGTCCTTGCTGAAGTGGCAGGGGGACTTTTTTTTTCTTCTGGTACTGGAGAGGGCCTTCCCCTGGGCTATATCCCAAACCCTTTTTTATCTTGAAACAAGGCCTTGCTAAATTGCCAGTGTGGGGCTTGAGCTCTTGATCCTTCTGCCTGGCCCTCCTACAGTGCAGAGATGACAGGCGTCTGTCACCATGCCCAGCTAGGACTGGCTCAGTAGGGGTCAGGGCAGACTGCGGTGGGCTATGGTGACTACTTCCTGCCTCTCCTCCAAGGGGCCCAAGCTCACTGAGGCAGGACACCAGGGAAAGCAACCCCAGACAGGAGGTGGCGGCTGGGCACAGTGGTGACAGAATCGCCAGGGCGGCTCCAGGCCTGGCCCCAGCTTCTCCTGCCCTCTCCAGCCCAGTGGCCCTGGCCTCACCTTCCCCGCACGGGTTGCGGAGCAGGTTGCGCCTCCGCTTGCTGAGGAAGTAGAACTGCTGCCAGTGATCGCGCTCCTCCTCCTCGCCGCAGCCCTCTGGCACCAGCCCCTCCTGCTGACACTTGAGCAGCCACAGGGGGGCGCCGTCCACCAGCTCCTTCCAGCGCAGGCACACCAGGCGGCAGGCCTGCACCAACTCGGCGGCGGGCAGCTGGGCCAGCACGCGCAGCAGCAGCGCCTCGGGCAGCTCCGCCAGGTACACGGCCTCCTCCGACTCCTCGTCCCCGGGCCGCTCGCCCTCGGTGGCCTCCTCTGGGCTCGCCTCCTCCTCCTCCTCTGGCTGGGCCACGCTCTCTGCAGGAGAAGACGAAGTGGAGAGGCCTTGCTTCCGGGGGCTGGGCCCCTCTGTGCCCATTCCCCCAACACAGCTGCCCAAGGGAGAGCGTCTGCGACTCCACATGTGTCCCCAGGGAGGAGGCCAAGCCACACATGGGCCCAAGAACTGCTTGGGCACCCTGCGTAAACCCCACCTTGCGGAGACCCGAGTAAGATCTGCCGCCTATAGCACTGTCCTGAGCTTCATAAGGAATACTGTTACCCCTCCCCTCCCCTCCTCAGGAAGCCTCCCTGGGTTGCCCTTAGTATACCATCCACAGCCCAAATTCCAAAGCTTCCTAGAATTTGTCCCTGGATGTAATCAGCTTTTTTGGGGTTTTGTTTTGCTGTGCTGTGCTATGCTTTGCTGTGCTGTGTTTGGTTGACAGGGGTACAGGCTGGCCTTGAGCTCACAGAAATCATCTTGCCTCAGCCTCCAAAGTGGTGGGATTACAAGCACGTGCCACAATGCCTGGCTATTGATTGTCCTTTTTCTTCACCAGCCTCATAAAGCCTAAAAGCAGGTGCCTGGCACCGTCCTATCCAGAACTCTACTGGCCACTCAGCAAGTGCCAGACCTGTTCCAAGAGTTTAGTTGCTCGTTGAAGCCTCACACCACCCAAGGTTGTGGCTTTTTATTTCAATGATGAAGAAAGTGAAGCACAGACAGAAGCAATGGCCAGGGTCACTGGGTCATAAGTAACTGGAGCCTGCAGCGACACCCTGAGTCCAGTGCCAGAGTCACCAGATCATCGAAAAAGAATGAGCTGGATTGGTGGACAGATATGGAGAGGATTTTGAGTTTGCAGAGGAACACACTCAGGTCCAGAGATGTGATGTGACTTGGCCAAAGTCCCACTGATAGCCTTGGGTTAGGGGACCAGGTTAGGGACCTGAGGGCCGTGGGGAGGGCTGGAGACCCAGTTGTCCTCACCCAGCCACCAAAGTGTGACTCTGAGTGGGAAGCAGTCTGCTATCAAACAGGGAGGTGGCCAAGGTGCCCTTTCCAGCTCCTGTGCTTCAGTTTCCTCATCTGTGAAATGGGGTCACTATCTCCTGAGGAGAGATGAGGACATAAGGCGGAGGGCAGATGTCACACGGATCCCAGCTCTCCTCACTGGGCCACCCAAGTTAAGTAAGCAGATACCAAGAGCCCAGTGTCTCTGGAGGGTGCCCAGCATGGGGAGCAGACAGGGCCACTCCAGAGGTGGGAAAAGGCCTGACAATGGAGAGGGGGACAGGCGGCAGGGCTTGGATCAGAGTCTGGGCCCAAACCCACTCATGTGCAACACATGCTTGCACACACATGCACACACATGTACACATGCATACACACACACACACATGCACACACGGGCACACAGCCAGGCACCCTGCTGAATAGAGTTTAATCACTGTCCGTGTACCCAGGTTACCCAGGGCACCCTCAGCAAGATTCCTTAGTGCCTCTTGCCAACATAGGACTTTACCTTCATATCTGCATTGTGTGACTGACGCAGGGCTTATCCCCACTATGGTCAGAGAGGAAACTGAGGCCTAGAGACCCTCATGAGCTTCTCGTGAGTCACATCATACACCATGAGGAGGGCACAGAAGAAAGTAAATGCCAGTGCATCCTGCAGCCCGCTAGTCTCTGGGGAGCCCGGCGGCGTCCTCCCCTCTCCACACCCCGCCCCACCCTGGCCCCAGTGGACACCTGATGCTCCCCGAAAGGTGCCCTCACAGTCCAGTCTCCTCTCCTGGCCCCCAGACCTGGCGCTGAGGCCCCAGATCCAATTACGCTCCCCCCCTTTCGGACACAACTCCCCACATTGTTGCTGTGGAAAGTTATCTGGCCCCTGGAAGCTGCCGCCTGGCTGATTCACTCACCTGGGTTGGGCCCCAGAGTCCAGGGAATAGCTGGGCCCTGGGGAAAATCGTGGACCAACTCTGGGGCCCTCTCAAGTGTGGCATGAGGACTACAGGTTGGAGCAAGGGCTGTGGGATCTGGGAGTCAGGGCTCTGAGAGAGGGGGCTCTGGCTACCTGAGTCTCCTACTGGCTTCTCCCAGCACTGCCCACCCCGAGCTAGGCCAGGAGATGTAGGGAGGCGAAGGCAGTCTCCACCCTGACTCAGCAGGCCACCCCTACAGGAAGCTGGGCGGTGGAGGGGTCTTCGGTGCCAGAAGAGGTGACTGAGCAGTCTCAGGGGCCTGAGCAAGAGCGCCTCACTGTCTCTGAGCAGAGGCAGTGCCCCAGGCCAACGCAGCCCCTCGGAAGGAAGGTGGGATGCGGGGTCAGAGGCCCTGAGCCCCGAGAAACCCGCAGGCCACAGCTGACCCACGCAGAAGCGAACGCAGAAGTCTGCAGCCACCTCGCTCCCGCCCCATCACCCCAGACACAGGGTGTCCCCCAAGATCGATCCATTTTGACCGGAGTCCCCTTCCCTGCTTGCCACCTCCCGGGGCTCCCAGGAGTCCAAGGCAGCAGACAGAAAGAAGAAACCCGTGCTCAATGGAGACTGAGCCGAGGGCTCTGCCAGCGGGAAAGTTTGTGCGCAGCTTTCGGGGCCTCTGGCCCTCTGAGGACCCCTCTGGCGCCCGTCGCTCTCCCCGCCTCCCTTCCCGACTGCAGCCCCGGCGTCTGGGATGTGGCTACCTGGGTCCCCGTCTCCGTCCATCGCTGCGGAGCACGGCTGCAGGAGGCAGTAGCCGAGGAGCCGAGTCGCCTCGCCGCAAGCTGCGAGTCGGAGCTCTGCCCGCGTCTGGGGCGGCCGGGACAGCCGCGCCTCTTAAAGGCCCCGCGCCGCCCCGCCCCGCCCCGCCCCGCGATCCGGGCCACCGGCCCCGCGAAGGTCAGGAGTCGGGTTTTCCTTACTTGAGGATTCGACCGGGGTGGGGGACTCCCAGCTCGCTAGGGGCGTGTGCACGGAGAAGGAGATGGGCCAGGCGATTTGGGGCCTTTCCTACGCGAGGTGCGGGGCGCTCGGCTTGGTGGGGCGGGGGTGGGGTGCAGGCGCCTTCCGGGCCCCCCAGGTGAATTTCTCACGCGGTGGGGGGTGAAGAGCGGAGCTGGACCTGGTGGACTGGGGTGGGGCCACGTCCTCCGGGAGACCGCGGGACCAGGCAGCCCAGCCCCGGGGACCCAGCGGGATCTCAAGGGGTCGGCCGAGCGCAGGTGACCGCGGGGCGCGCGGGGAGGGGCGGGCACGCTCGCTGTCCCAGGGCTCGAGCGCCGCAGTGCGCCCAGCGCCGACCAGGCCAGGCTTGCAGCGGCGGGCGGCGGGGACCCAGGCTGCGGTCGCCATCGGTGCGCTGGGTCCTGACTTGGGGGAGCCCGTAGAGCCACAGCGTGAAAATCGGAGGCCGCAGGTGCCCTGGGGGCCCCGGCTAGAGTCCAGAGCGGGGGTGGGGTAGGGTGAGGGTGTCGTAAGGTGCTTCTCGATCCATCGCCCATCTCTCTCCAGTCCTAGCTAGGCCCCCATTTTCTGTGATCTTGAGAAAGTTGCTGAGCCCTGTGGGCCTCCCGTGGAGCGGTGAGAAAGAGCCCCTCCAATCTGCTCTCCTCACCGCGGCGGAGGCTGGGAGAAGAGCTTATGGAGCAGGGCCGGGCTGCCATTATTCCTCCTCGCAAAACCGTGGCTACTGAACAAGGAAGGCTGCTTTAGGATCAAAGAGGATCGGCCTCCTCTCCCTCTCTGTCGCGGCTGCGCGACCTTGGACAGCTGTTTGATCTCTCCTGGCCTCCTTCGCCACCTTAAGGCTATCCTTAGGAAGGGCCGGGAAGTCACCGTTGTTGAGCACCTGCTGTGTGCCAGGCTCATTGGATTGCCCCAGTGACCCTGGAGGGAAGCCCTATTTCCCAGCCCCATTTAGATGACAGAACTGCAGCTCCGAGAGGCAGTCAGGGGCCCCTGGGATGGGACCCTCCCCCACTGCCCAGAGCTGCACATCACGGTCAGGGGAGGGGGCGGGTGTGCACTGTAGCTTCTCCACAACCACAGGAGGGAGACCCGAGGCCACCGCCATGGCCGTGGGGAACATCAATGAGCTGCCGGAGAACATCCTGCTGGAGTTCTTCACACACGTGCCCGCGCGCCACCTGCTGCGGCGATGTCGCCCTGTCTGCAGCCTCTGGCGGGACCTCATTGACCTCGTGACGGTCTGGAAGCGCAAGTGCCTGCGCGAGGGCTTCATCACCCAGGACTGGGACCGACCTGTGGCCGACTGGAAGGTCTTCTACTTCCTGTGCAGCCTCCGCAGGAACCTCCTGCACAACCCCTGTGCTGAAGGTGCGGCCCAGCGCGGTCTGGTGTACCCTAGCACAAATACCAACTCTTGTTGATCGAACATTTACTGGGAGCCATGTCCTTGGGGTGATTTAATGTCCTCTCGAAGCAACCCTTTGAGGTAGCAACTGCTTTATACCCAGGATCCAGATGGGTAGGCTGAGGCCAAGGCTAGTAGTTCTTGTTCCACTTCTAAGATTATTTCTCCAGTGACGTTTCCTAGGATTGTTGGCCACCTGGAAAAAATTGTGCCCAAGATAAAGATAAAAGTCACAGCCATGGTTTGTTGGCATTGTTCCCAGATTCCAGGGCCGAGCCTACTGTGACTGTCCCAGAAGACAGGCAGGGGTGGAGGCGGGGCTGTGCTTGTGGAAGAAAGGGAGATCAGGTCTTCTGACCAGAAGCAAGCAGCCACAGGCCAAATAAGGCTCCTGTGTCACCCAGCCCCCCAGCTTCCGGTGGATCCTTCAGCTTTCGTGACACTGGGACCCAACACCTGACCCCAACTTAAGGACAGGCTTATTCAGCTCAGGGTTTCCAAGGCTTCAGTCCATGGTCAGGTGGCTCCCAGGAAGGAACCTCGTGTTAGAAGGGTGTGGGGGAGGAAATCTCTCCCTTCATGGCGACCAGGGTAAGCTGGGCACAGGCGAAGGAGGAAGGAAGGGACAGAGAGAGTCCCCAGAGCCATGGCCCCCAGACCCACACAGACACACTCAGAAGTGTGCATGCTTAATCTCCTACCTAGGTAGCTCTGGAGTAAATCCAGCTGACTTAAAAATGAACCCTCAGGGGCCAGGGAGATGGCTCAGTGGAATAAGCACTTCCCTGGCAAGTGCAAGGGCCTGAGTTCAATCCCTGGTTCAAAAAAAAAAAAAAAAAAAAAAAAAGATGAACCCTCATACTCCATTATATTGTCACTTGTTGGGGGCACTGGGTGGGACAAGGAGTGATCAGATCTGGAGCCCAGTGATGGTTAAAGGCCCTCCATGGGGCCGGGGAGATGGCTCAGTAGAATAAGTGCTTCCCTGGTAAGCGCAAGGGGCTGAGTTCAATCCCTGGTTCCGCAAAAAATAAATTAAATAAAATAAAAAAATAAAGGCCCTCCTGAGGAGGCAGCACACCTGACTCACATTTGGAAAACTGCAGGCCACAAGCCAAAACTAGACAAGGAGTTGAAAATATC